TGGGGGGGGAGGGGGAGTTTTTGGGGGATGAGGAGGATTTTTTGAGGAGCGCTGTTTTGTGGATCAGGAGCAGTTTTTGGGGGATCAGGAGCTGTTTTAAGGAGCTGTTTTTGGGGATCAGGAGCAGTTTTTGGGGGATCAGGAGCTGTTTTAAGGAGTTGTTTTTGGGGGATGAGGAGCAGTTTTTGAGGAGCTGTTTTTGGGGATCAGGAGCAGTTTTTGGGCAATCAGGAGCTGTTTTGAGGAGCAGTTTTTGGGGGATGAGGAGCAGTTTTTGAGGAGCTGTTTTTGGGGATCAGGAGCAGTTTTTGGGCAATCAGGAGCTGTTTTGAGGAGCAGTTTTTGGGGGATGAGGAGCAGTTTTTGGGGGATCAGGAGCTGTTTTAAGGAGTTGTTTTTGGGGGATGAGGAGCAGTTTTTGAGGAGCAGTTTTTGGGGGATGAGGAGCAGTTTTTGGGGAGCTGTTTTGTGGATCAGGAGCTGTTTTGTGGATCAGGAGCAGTTTTTGGGGGATCAGGAGCTGTTTTAAGGAGTTGTTTTTGGGGGATGAGGAGCAGTTTTTGAGGAGCAGTTTTTGGGGGATGAGGAGCAGTTTTTGGGGAGCTGTTTTGTGGATCAGGAGCTGTTTTGTGGATCAGGAGCAGTTTTTGGGGGATCAGGAGCTGTTTTAAGGAGCTGTTTTTGGGGGATGAGGAGCAGATTTTGGGGAGCTGTTTTGTGGATCAGGAGCAGTTTTTGGGGGATCAGGAGCTGTTTTAAGGAGCTGTTTTTGGGGGATGAGGAGCAGATTTTGGGGAGCTGTTTTGTGGATCAGGAGCAGTTTTTGGGGGGATGAGGAGCTGTTTTTGGGGAGCTGTTTTTGGGGGATGAGGAGCAGTTTTTGGGGGATGAGGAGCAGTTTTTGAGGAGCAGTTTTTGGGGGATGAGGAGCAGTTTTTGGGGGATCAGGAGCTGTTTTAAGGAGCAGTTTTGGGGGGATGAGGAGCAGTTTTCGGGGAGCTGTTTTGAGCACCCATCCCTCCCCATCCCACACCACCTCCCACCCCATTTCCCTCCCCTCCTCCCTCCCCCTCCTGACCATTTTCTCTCTCCCCACAGGCCAAGATGACTGGAATGGAACCCGGCCCTCCCTGAAGGCCCCCCCAGCCCGGCCAGTCAAGGGGGGCTACAGGGAGCACCCCTACGGCCGCTACTAACCCCAAAACCGGGGCAAAACCCCCAGTTAGGAGCAAACTCTTGTTTCTGGTTCTTGTATCTCCCGGGATTCCCGTTGCTTTACCCACAGCAGACAAGTAATTGTCTCCCTGTTTTTCTTCCTGGCCCTTTTTTTCCTTCCCACTCCATCCTCACCCCTGCATTTTTGGCTTCTGTATGTAGTGATTTCTTGAGATGAAATTTAAATAGATTTTAGAGGGGGGAAAAAAGTTTTTAATTTTTATTATTTTTATTTTTTTTTCTTCCTTCAGTGTGTAGATGGCTTTTCTTTCTTTGTTGTTTTAGGTAAAAAAAAACAAACAAACTGTACCTTTTTTTAAGGAAAAAAAAGACAAAAAAAAAAAAAACAAAAACAAAAACAACAAAAAAACCCCACACCACAAAACAACAAACCCCTCCACAAACTACAGTTTATTTTTTGCATTAAAAAATGTATTACTAAAAAGCAAGTTAAAAAAATGTTAGTTTCCAAAAGTGAAATGCTTTGCTTAGTTCTGAAATTAAGGTTTTGTTAAAACTTTTAAAGTTTGTTTTAAAGGAACCCATAAAGGTTGTAGTTGCAGAATCCCAAAGTAGGCTACATTTCAAAATTCAGGGTTGTTTTTTAAGAATTAAAATCTTAATGTAACAGTAGTGGCTGCCACCATTTAAAAAAAAAAAAACAAACAAAAAACAAAAAATAACTTCAGATTCCAAACCTTTAAAAGGACATTGCTGGTGAATCTTGAAGTTTAAATTTTAACCCAAAGGATCCTCCAAACAAATTAAATAGCATTTTCTAAAGAGAATTGACTTAAAAGGAAAAATTAGGTTGGTAAAAAATTGGCTTTTCTTATGTGGATTTTGAAATCTAGCCCCCCGTGCAGTGTTGAGATATGCTTGGGAATATTTTTCCAGTGGAAAGGGGTTTTAATTTAATTCTAAATGAACCATTTTTAAGGGAAAAAAACCCAAAATGTGGCTCTAATTGCCCAGTGTTTGATAGAAAGAATATTCCATGGGTAGGCCTGTAAAATTCTGATTTTTTGTAGCCCTTTGGGGCAGAAAATCTGATGAAAATTTCAACCTCACCCCCAAAAAAATCTCAATTTTTTTGTTCAAGTGTATCTCAGCACGAGCTTTGCATAAAAAGGGACACTGCAGCTGTAAAAAAACCCCAAATCAAAAAACCAGACAAAAAGCAATCCCAAATTTCACTTTGTACATAAGATAAAGTCCTAATTGGATTTGTTACACTGTCCTCCCACTCTGTTCTGGAAGAGAAAAATGCTACATTTTGTGTAAAGTCTGCCTAACTAGGTAGCTCAAAACGTGTCAAAATGTCTGTCTCAATCTGTCAATAAAGTTTAGTCCTTTTTTAATCCAAGTAAATGTGATGAATTGTCATTTGTTTTTAAAGGTTTTTTTTTTCAAACAACTTTAAATCCATGCTAAACTTAATTTGTCTTTTTATTATTATTTTTATTTTTATTATTATTTTTATTTTTATTATTATTTTTATTTTTATTATTATTTCTTTAAAAACTGTGGAGGCATTTCTAAAAAAAAAATGGTGGTTTTTTGGTAATTCTCGTGAGAAAACAAAATTTTTTCGAGCTTGTCGAGCTTAAATTTATTTTTAAAAATATGAAAAAGACAAAAAGCAAAATTTGTTTTTCACCCCCTGGAAGTTGCTGGCAGCAGTTTGGAGGCAGAAATCTGAATTTGGAAAGCTGATTCAGATTTCAGGTGGCCTCAGAGAACATTCCAGAGGCTGGTTTAGGAAGGAATGCTGAGAATTCCAAGGAAGTTGCTTTCTGTAACCCCCCCTTGGCTGAGGTGATGCTTCCAAGCAGCTTTTCCTTGGAAAAAAACGCTTTAAAAAGGAATTTTTTTTGTTGGTGGAAGGTGCTGCAGCTGCTCCTTAAATCCTTTCTGAGAGGGTGTGGATGTAGAGATATTGAATATATTTCTATTTAAAAATCAATGTTTCACATGGTTTGTTATTGGAATTTGGAATTTGGAATTTTAGGGGGAGAGGATTAAACTGCTCGGGGGTGAAAAATAGAATTTTAGGGAAAAAAAAACCAAAAAACAACAAAAATGCAGCGCATGAACTGAGGGGAATATTTAAAAATATATTAAAAAAAAACCACACAAAAGTTGTATTTGTAGATTGTTCTTAAAGTGCAAATAACTGAATTTTCAACACTGGTTTGGAGTCAGCTTTCAGGGCATAATGTGATGAAAAGATCAGCCTATGCCCCCCCTTTTAAAGGAAAATTATCAGCAGGAGAAATCAGGATGTGTAGAGCTAACAGGCACCGCAAAGCCCAAAAGGTAACCTAAATGTCTGATTTTAATCCAGCACATTTCTCTTTTCCATAAACCTGTGACGTAAACTTCTTACCCAGCCGACCCTTCAGATGTTAATTTAATGTAAAAGGGGAAAAAAAACCAACCCAAAAACGTGAAAAAAAACACCCCCAAAAAAAGATGTTTTAAATATAAACATTTAAAGCAACCCACGTGGCATAAATTAGCAATAACTTTTAATAATGTGCCCTTGGCAGATGCACTGGGATGGAATGTGGGCCAAAAGGAATCTTTAAATATCCTGGATTTTTAAAGGATAAAAGCTGTAAAATGAACGTGAATCCAAGCTAGTCCTGCTACTGCCAAAAAAAAAAAAAAAAAAAAGGAAAAACCAAACCCAAATTCTGCTCAGTTGTTTGAAAATCTCAATTTTTAGCCCCCCCAGTATTGCTGTTTCCTGTGAAATGTCCATAGCTCAGCTGAAGTTGCATGTTGATCCTCCATGTGTAATTGCATGCAGGAATCTCTCTCTTTCTTTTTCCCTTTTTTATTTTAATTATTTTTTTTTTTGTATCTTTGTGAGGATCCTGACAATTTTTTCCTTTGATTTGCAGGAATTTGGGGCCGTGACTCAGTGGGGTGAGGAGGAGGAGGAGGAGGAAGAGCAGGGCCAGCACCAGCTGGGTGAGTTTTGGGGGATTTTTTTACAACCCCTTGTTGAGTTCCCAGCGTGGGGGTGGCACCATCTGAGCTGCTAAATTCCAATTTTTCCTTGGATCCACACCAAAAAAAAAGGGGAAGCTGCTTCCCTGAGGTCACAGCGTGGAGGAGGCTCCTGAGCTGAGTTTTTAGGGGATTTTGAAGGATTTTGGGATGAGATCCCTGCCTTGGGATGCAGGGATTTCATGGTTCTGTGCTTCCCAAGCTTTGGGATTTGTTCCCCCTTGCCCTGGGAATGGCTCAGGAATTCCCACAGGAGGGGAAAATCCAGGAAAATCCCAGGCTGCAGATCTTTCCTTGCCTCTTCCCAGCCCTTCCACACACTCTGGAATGGGATGTGGCTGCTGGGAGTGGTTTTTGTGGAATTCTGCCAGGGAATCTCCCTCAGGGACCCCACAGTGATTTTTGGGGTTTAAAACCGTGGAGGCATTTCTAAAAAATGGTGGGTTTTGGTAATTCTTGTGACAAAACAAAAATTTTTCAAGCTCATCGAGCTTAAATTTATTTTTAAAAATATGAAAAAGACAAAAAAAATTTGTTTTTCACCCCTGGAAGCTGCTGAAAGCAGTTTTGAGCCAGAAATCTGAATTTGGAAAGCATTTGATGGTTCTTTGCTTGATGATTCAGATGAATCTCACCCCATTCCCGTGGGCAGGGATTCCTTCCCCTATCCCAGATTGGCCTGGAGCATTTTCAGGGATGGAGCAGAGGAGATGCTTCCCTAAAAATTCTCTTTGCTGCATGGCTGGGAGTGGTTGTGGGGTGATCACATCAGCAAGGACACAATTCCTCCATCCCCTTCCCTGTGGGATTCCAGAATGCTGCCCCTGAGCTCCAGAAATAAAAATCACCAAGGAATCCACCTTGAAATGCTGGAAAAGCCCAAATCCCAGCTGAGGAGGGGACATGAAAGGATAAATCTCATTTTTTAGGGGATTCTGAAGCTCCCAAAGGAGCCCCTCTTACCCCAGGAGCAGCAGGAGCAGGGAAGAGCCAGTTTGTGGGAATGCTGCAGCAGGGAGTTCACCCTGAATTCCTGCACTCGAAAATTGAATTTCCCTCCTGCCAGGAGGGAAATGACAGCAGGCCTGGATTTGTGGTTGTCAAATCCATCTTCATTTCCAGTGGAATTGGAACATCAATTTCTTATGGCACTGCACCAATCTTTCCCATTTCTCTCCTAATAGGCCCAGCTTTTAGATCAAGTGGAAAAGATTTGATAGAGATCATCTCTTAGGAAGCAATTTATTCCCAAATGGATCTTGTGATGCTGCCCTTGGAGTAACCCAGCTCGTGCCTTGTTTTTTGTGGGATGCTGGTGGGAAAGGATGGAAATGTGAATATACTGAAATAACTGGGAGTGTTGTGCAAACATTCCCTGGATCAGACAGCTCCCTCCCTCCTTCCCTTCCTCTCCCAGCACTTTTCCAGGCGGGATTTAGCCCTGGAGCCTGCCAGAGCTCATTTGAGATCCCAAAATAACCCCTCAGCAGCAGAATCAGCCAAAAATTCTGGGGTGAGGCAGGGCTGGAGATTCCTGGGAGTCTGAGTCACCTCAGCTACCTGCAGAACCTTCCCTTTCCTGCTGGAATTCTGCTCCCAGGTGCCAGGGCTCTCCTCCTCTCCCTGTTTTCCCAAAGGGCTCATCCACATCTTGTTGTTTGTAGCATTTTGGGCAAGACCCCAACCCAGAGAAAATCCCCCGTTGTTCTTGGCTCTGTTCACGTCTCCTCCCTGGAAGTGTTTCCCAACAAAATCCTGGTTTTGTCAGGCTGGGAACACCCTCCTGCTCCGTGTCTCAGCATTCCCATCCTGCCAGGCCTTTTCCCTGGGTGGGAACAGCTCCTCCAGGCTCCAGGGCAGCCCTGGGCTGTAAAACCCCAGCCTGGCTTTGCTCTGAGCTGCCCCAAACCTGGATTTTGTCCTGAGTGGGGAGTGAGCCCAAGGAAAACGCTCCAGCTGGAATTCCAGAGGTGTCTC